CAACCCCCCTGAGCCCCCTCACCTGTTCACATCTTTGCAGGGAGGAGACTGTGAGCAGGATCAATCCCTGGTTATCTGGGGGTGATTAGTGAGGTCTGCAGCAGACCTCACTAATCGCCCCAGATAATCAGGGATCGATCCTCCTCACATACATTCTTTTCTTTCCGCCGGAGCTCAGAACTGTCAGAGCTGCGGCCGAAGGAAGTCGGAGCTGACAGGAGCTGCTTTGTGGTCTGCATCCGACACAGATGCAGACCGTGGAGCTGCTCCCGCAAGTCGGGTACGCGGTCTGCGACCTTGTGCCTGACATGTCAGCTGGCTGCGGGCCACATAGTACCGGCTCGCAGGCCTGTGTTGGCCGGCGGACCGGTACTTGGAGACCCAAATTTCCACTGAGCCCTGCAATAGAAGATACTTGTAACAAGCTTTAAGAAAATTTGGAGATACATTGTATCCAGAGTTTGCTTTTAGTATGACTCCTACCCGTTCACCTCTTGAGTGCTACTATGGGTTTGTTTTTTTAACATTTAACCCTTCCACTACCTGTTTAATGCCCCAGGTTATGGTGCTCTCTGCTTATTTGTTTTCTGCCGAGGTCCCCAGCAAGCGCAGGACCTCAGACAGCCTCATCTGTCAACCAATAGAAAGTGTCGGTATCGGCACTTAAGTGTCTTGTGCCCTTGGCAGCTGGCCTGAGACCCGGGCACAAGACTCAAAAGCCGTACTGTTCAGGTGAATCCCGGACAGGTGGCAACCCTATCTGGGAACCCCTAAATGCTATTTAGCATTACAGTGTGACTTTAGAATAGATATCTTTTAGCATCTGTTTAGCAGTTGTATCAAATGGTTAATAAGGAAGTTAGTTAAAATTATGCCTTTCTCTACTGTAATGACTAGGCACGTGAAATATAGTGAAAAATATTTGCCTGTACATACTTTGTGACTTCTTCAGCCCACGGGATTAGAACTCCTTTTTTGCTGGACAATAAGGTCATCCATAGTGCTAAGCCAATAGGAATGTGAGGAAGGAGGTACGTCATAGTATGACTACAGGGGTGGGGAATTCCTATCGCCTGACGCCCGGGACAGGCAGTTTCGGGCGCCGGGCAGGTAGTTTTTTCATACGTTCAGCCCTGCTCCGGACAAGCAGAGCTAAATGCATATTGTGGAGCCGCCGCTCGTTTTCATACAATTGATCTAATCAGATCACTTGTATGAAGCGAGAATCGGCGATCCTGTCCGCCACCCCCCCGCGCTGTGGTTTTTGGGGTCCCCCGCTCCTCTGCTGGACCTGTCACCACGGCACGGGAGCTCACCATAGAGCCCGCAGAGCAGACTAAGAACTTCCTTTCTTCGTCTGCTCTGTGCTATCACTGAGACCGTGGCGCTGTAATCACAGCGCCACCTGTCTCTGCTGTCAGGAACTACACAGAACATCAGTTCTGTGTTGGAGGGCAGGTTCCATAAAGAGAGCCTGTCACCTCCAAACTATCACATAGAGGTTTTTAACACCATATGTGATAGGAATAAAATAAAAAAAATATAAAAAATAAAAAAACTTTTTTTTAAAGGTATAAAATATATAAAAATTACAAAAAGTGACAGTTAAAAAAAGAAAAAATTAAAACCAACTACACTGCCCTGCCATCTGCATACAAATAAACATGCGCATAGGAAATTGTGTGTGTGTGTTGAGTCCTGCTGCCATTTCACTGTGTGCCATATTGTGGTACCTGGGCAGCAGAACTCTCTCACACACACAATGTGCATTAAAGGGTAAGTTCACTTTCCCAGGTAATACGGGAAAATTGAATTACCCGATCAAATCTGGCCTCGTCTCTTCTACCCCCTTCACCTGCCAGCTATACTTAACTTTCTGCAAACAGTCCTTACCCTCCGCCACTACAGGCGTCCTTACCCTGTACTGTCCAGTGCATTCCTGCCCTATGCATTTTGAATTTTGCTCGCAAATAGCAAGCACTCATTGGTCAGGTGATTGGCCAGGAAGCCAACTCCTTGCTGATTGGCCGCCAATCAGCATCGAGGTATCTTTCCGGCCAATCAGGTCATTACTCTTCGCCAGGTTTCCTGATTGGCTAGCAAGCTGGCTCGATGACGATTGGCCGGGATACCGGCTTCCCAGCCATTCACAATCAAGCCGGCCAAACAACATGGAGTCGGCTTCCCTGGCAGTCAGGAAGCCGGGTAGCATCTCATTACCCGCTGCCCGGCTTCCTGATTGCCCGGGAAGCCTGCTCCATGCCAACGGAAGCACCGATACTCTGCATTGGGACAAGTAGATTGTCATGAAGGACAAGTAGATTTGACCCCTGCTTTAGCCCTTGGACAAGTAGTTTTTTCTAAAATTTCCACACCCCTGGCCTACTACTACTAGTAAGTGTTCAAACTTTTCATTTACATCTGTAGTGTTTGGGTGCTGAAGTGCAAGCATCACTTGGCGCCTGCATTGTAGTTCTGAAGCCTTTACATTAGGTTCTTGACTAATAAACCTTATAGCTGTCTACAGTTTAACAGATGTCTTCTGAATATCCAAAGCTGTGAAGGGACACATTGCAGCCTCAAAAGGAAGATGCAGTTTGATACATAGGCAGTTCTGTGTAATCAGAAGCATTAAGTTTAGTACCTCTTCTTCTTCTTCTTTTTTTTTTTCTACCATCTCCTGCAGGCTGCTGCTTGTAACAATCCTCCTTTCAGAGCTGCCAGATATTGCCCCGAGCAGCTATCTTTTGGCGCTATATGTGTTGATAGCAGCTACTGCTAACCTGAAGTTGTACTGCGCTCTCCCCTGTTCAGAGAACTCCTACTTATTAATTTCCCATAATGTATCATCTGTAAATGGGCAGTGTAGATACTATAATTCATCCACTAGTTTGTTCACAGAATGCAATGTAGCGACTGCTGTTAACCCATACACCAGTGGAAGAAAGCCGCTTGGGGCAATATCTGTTGGCTATAAGGGAGGCATGATGGTTGGATTTTTGAAGAAGATGGGATACTCCCCATTACACATAACTAATGTTTTGGTGCTGTAACCCCAAAAAGGGAAAAAAAAAATATTTCAGCTTTGACAGTAACACCTACATGATTTTGTACATATCCTGCTTGCGATGTAATTCCTATTTGTGATATTTCTGTGCAAAACCTATAGAAACATGACTTTTTAGCATATTGTGTGTTTTTCAGAATCTGTTGGGGCATCGGGCCAGCGCCACGTTTTCTGTCCTGTCCATAAACAGGAACAGCTCAAACTGTTCTGTGAAACATGTGATAGATTGACATGTCGAGACTGTCAGCTGCAGGAGCATAAGGAGCACAGGTAAATAAATACATTTTGTTAGATTAAAATGGTCCGTTCATCACTTCTAATTATTTGGAAGAGGGGGCATAATACTTTGTAGTGTAACTTGTCATTGTTGCCCCCTTTAGACCTTAACCCCACTAAGAGTGCACTGTACAAAAAATTCAGCCAAGTAAGGAAAATAAAAAGGAATAGATCCTGGCCTTTCAGTCCCAGCAGGAATAGGCAGTTCTCTTATTCAGCCTTTCATATTTTTGCCTTGCTTTTTGAAATCCTGTTCAGCTCTAATTTTATTTCTAAATTTGTAACCATTATGTAATGGGTGCACCCTGCTTTTTAGCACAAGTGAAAGTGAACCCACTTGTTTGCCTTTAAAGTATCTTAATCATGGCATTTATGGTTTCCCTAATAAACCTTATGTTTTTCTTTTTAGCTCATTTGTGATATTTTAATACCTCTGGCTCATGCATGATTTTTGACATACAGATGTCATGTCTTAGTAGTTGGATGACTGGTCTAACCTGACTTTCATTGCTGAAAGTCAAATTCATAGAACAGACATTTAATTGTTTAATACTAGCAAAAGTGTGCACATTCCACAATGGGTAAGGTTGGAGATATTACAGACACTTAAAGAACTGTTTTGCAGAGGGTGTGACGATGGCTGTAAATGTGGAAGATGAGTGTGGAGGGTATAACAGCAGGTACTATGTACAGTAGAAGAGTGTGGAAGGTATGACAATGCAGTATATACTGGGGAGGTGTCTGGAGAGTGTGACAGTGGGCAGTATGTTCACTAGAGGAGTGGAGGGTTTGACATGAGGTGGTATGTTCACGAGAGAAGTGATAGGTGTATAATGGCAAACATTATGTGCGGGAGAGGAGTGTGGAGTATATTAAGGCCATGTAGCCATTGGCAGCAGAAGGGAGCTTTTAACTTTCTGGAGGGAAGGTGAATTGACTGAAGGGTAAGTGAACTGGCAGGAAGATATATGAAGGAGTGCTCTGCAGTGAAAACACTGATGTGGTCTTCCATTTAATTGCATCCATGGTCGCCATTTTGTTGAAGACAACAGCAGTGTTTCACTATTGAGTATGGACTGAATGGGCAGCATGCTGCAGGTGTCATAGAAAAGCATTTACGGGTTTCTGTTGCAATGTTACCAGTGTTTCCAATTGCCAGATTGCACTAGGCTCCCAAAGGAGGCAGAGAGGATGCGCATTGGTTTCAGTGGTCTCCAACAAAATAACTGTGGGCACCATTTGTTGAAGACCACATCAGACTTTATGCAGCAGAGCACAGGGTGCATATTACAGAATTACCCCAGTGCCAGAATTGACACCCACATGACTCTGCACTTCAGAAATTCAGAAATCCAGCATTGCCTAACTTCTGTATACATGTGACTGGCTGCTTTTGGACAGCAGAGAGTCACATGGCCACTGCTGCTTTGCTCTTTGCTCAAAAGTGAAAGGGATGACGCTGATAGCTGTCAAATAACAGCTCTTTGTCTCCCCCAGCAATAGGTAATTAATTTATTTTGGTCCCTCATCATGACAGTTGTGAAATGGTGATCACATTGGTTTGTTTACAAACAAACCTGCCAGTTTGTGCAGTCACTAGTTAGAAATGCATAATACCCCATTGCCCCTGCACTACTGATTCTTATAGAGTACAGCTCACCCTCTACTCCATAAAGAGATGTTCTGTAGTCCAGCTGGGAAGAATTGGCTAGAGATGACAATACTGCTTAGAATTTCAAAGCGGCAGAGGCACTCTTGTCGGACCACAACAGAAAGTTGTTGTTTTTTGATAGCCACTTGAGAGACACTGGGATCTGAATCTAGAACCATTCGTTATTTTGCAGCTTACTGGACAATTGGACACTAGGCACAAAAAACACCTGTAACCTCTGCTCTCTTAAAGGAGAACTATGAAGAGTGCTTTTCACTCACCACCTTGTTCTAGCCGACCTGTGACAATGAGACTGTCACAGGTCGGCTCAGTAGATCGGGAGGTGAGCGAACACATGCTGGTGTTCGCTCACTTCTCGATCCTGTCACGGCTTTTTAGGGCTTGTTCATACTATATGAGAGTCACAAAAAAACATACATAGACCATCGCCAAATGGAACCCTCAGATCCAAAGGAAAAATTTCTTGCAGTTCAAAAAAGGCTGCCATTTTCAAACGAGTGATGCCGTGCGTAGAACATAGAAAAAAAAACACCAGGCGCCTTTCCTGGTACTATAAAACCTTTTAATCATTGCAAAACATGTAAGAAAATATACTTGCAAGGAAAGCAAGTTAAAGACATCAATTGGCAAATCCTTACTCACTCCCACACCAGGAAAGTTACTAAGGGAATTCGAAAAAAACAATCCAGAGGATCTGCTTGTCCTGCAGAGTCACACTGACGCAGCTTAACGCGTTTTTAGGGACACACCACCTTCAGAGCTGGGTGGTTCAGCTATCTCAGTGCAAATGTATATATCCCAGTTGGTTGTAGACCCCCCTAAAGGATCAAAAAAATAACAATCCAAGGGCAGCATTTAATTGCTAAGAGTCCACCCTCCTAAAAAATGGCCAATCAGAGCTCAGGGGGCGTCAGCTATAGACGGCACACAATCTCTTTGTTGCAATAGGCTGGCTGACAAAATACATTGATTGCCAGCACTCAAGATAGCTGAAACACTGGCAATGTGACAACGAATATACAGATGCATAAGATATCAGTGTGCAAGAACCTACAAATATCCGAAAAAACTACATATGTACAAAAAAGGTATACAGCGAACACACACCGCCATGCTGCAGAAACATTGAGTGAACCGACATGTCGGCTAACCGACACAGCGGACCAAATGGATAAACGGCCGGTATACAAGCATCAAATTGAAGCAGCAAAGGGGTGAGTGTACCCCACCTGAAATGCTCATTAAATTTTTGCAGTTCTCATAGTGATATCTATACCTAATTTACTTTTTGTATGTTTTTTTTTTTCTTCATGTTTTTTAATTTCAGGTTGCATGTGACAATCCTTTATACTTGGTTTTCAACTATCGTGCATTTCAGGTGGGGATTGCTCACCCCTTTGCTGCTTCAATTTGCTGCTTGATGCCGGCCATTTATCTATTTGGTCCGCTGTGTCGGGTAGCCGACATTTCGGTACATTCAATGTTTCTGCAGTGTGGCTGTGTGTGTTCGCTATATACCTTTTTTGTACATGTGTAGTTTTTTGTATATATGTAGGTTCATGCACACTGATATCTTGTGTATCTGTATGTTTTTTTCTTGTTCATACTATATACGTTTCTGCAAATGCCGTCCAGTGCATTTTTGATTCTTTCTGGTACATTTTATTTAGCTTACAATGGGCTTTCAGGTGCAGTCCTGTGCGTTTGCATGTGGTTTTGATGCATGTGCATGTCTTTTGGTACATTCCAGACCAGACAAAATTGTGCATGCAGCATTTTTTTCACCTGTCAATAGAACGGACTGCATTTGGGTGAACAGAGCCCAGAAATACCCTAGGAATACATTGGGATGCATTTCAGGTATGGAACAAAAACAATTTGCTTTGCGGACATGCTGTGAACTGTGACGTACGCCCCGCCCAAACCCACTGTACGTCAATCCCACGTGACTATACACAAGTCTGAACCGAGCGTGAGCGGCACAAGCACGTGCCGATACCACTCTCACCCTCACCCTGCTCGCAGGACACAATCTCAGGCCAGCAGACAGAGCGATCGTCACCAGGCTTGGTTAACTCCGCAGTTAACCCTTTACCCACCAAACTTCCACCGCCACCATGTGTTTTTCGGAACACAAACCGTGCCCAGCAAATGTGACAATTTAAACACTTAAACAATGCCTGTGATGCCACTGTCCTCTCAGACAGGAATATGACAGGATTCACTATACAGTAGCAGTTCGTATTTAGAGCAATATATATATATATACACAACCGCAAAATAAAAGGGAATAAAAGAATACTCGACAGTCCTGTAGCTTGATTTTTAACCTCAGGGTTTTTATGACTTTCGTGTGAATGCGGGGGTCACCACCTACCGTGTTTCCCCGAAAATAAGACACTGTCTTATATTTTTTTTGGCTCAAAAAAACACACTAGGTCTTATTTTCGAGGTAGGTCTTATTTTTTTTCTTTTCAATGTACAACAATCCAAAGTTAATGCAAATCCAAATTAAATAATCCAAAATGGCAAAGTTAAGAATAGGGTGATCAGGGCAATCAGGGGTGCTGTACCTTTCCAAGAGCATTTTGGTAACCAGAATGAGCGAAGCACGCTTTAACTATGGATTCCTCACAGGCGCAGTGCATTTGGTATCACTCCGCCTGCGTCAGGAGCCGGCGCATTAGAGGAAGCATCAGCTTATGTGGCTCTGCTCCCTCCGCTGCCGCCTCGCTTCTTCTAGCGCTGGCTTCGTTGGCACCGCTGATTCTCTCTCGCGGCGCTTCAAGTTCCCCCTTATGCCACCACCGGCCCTGGGAAAGGTCGCAACTAGGTCTTATTTTCGGGGTAGGTCTTCTATTTTAGCAATTCCCAAAAATGGTACCAAGTCTTAATTTCGGGGTAGGTCTTATTTTCAGGGAAACAGGGTAGCAGACCTGCTTGGTTATTTTAACTTGTCTAATCCTAATATATTATTGCGTGATGCCATGCCTTTAACGACAGCCATAAAAGGCTTGGAGAGATATTTTGGAATTTCACTCGGGCTGGGCAATAAAAGATCACAGCCAGAGCATCTCTTCTGTGGAATGTGGAGGGACCTGTCAAATTCTAAATGAAGACCTGCATGTGCTCTGAACTGCGGCACAAGATAATTCCGAGTCTTAATATTAAGACTCTGACCCCCTTATCGTCACATGAACAAGCCCTGTATGTGTCCCGGTTAGGGAGATTCACCCACTCTATTTGTCCCTGGTGACTGTTATCTTTGAAAGTGAGATAATTTCCCAAATGTTGGGCCGTCATCAGAACAGGAATAGATGGG